GGGTGTGGTAGTGATAATATTATGTCACTCATAACGCTGCAAAGTTATGTGTACAGCTGAATACTGGCACGTTACTTGTGAAGTGGGCAGGAAGACTCAGCTCAACACAAACATGCCCCCCTCCCCTCCTCCCTCCTCCCTCCACTAAAGCAAACCCATCTCAAAAAATCTTCCCATCACAAGAAAACAAAACAGAAACATAAACGTTTATCAGTTAAAGCAAGCATGAACAACGACATTGTCTTACTAATATAAAGACGTTGCATTTGAAACAGTGAGCTTTCAAAATGACTTAGAGTTTATTACGGCATTGAACCTCTCTATTAGAGAGTGAAATAAAGATAAAGGCAGGAGGGATAGAGCAGTGACACTAAGTAGGGCTTTTAGCAAGATTAACTGCAACACAAGGGCATTGACTTACAGAAAGTTCCCGTAGACAAAGTAGGTGAGGAAGACCACGGCCAGCATAATCCTGCTGTGTCTCCGGAGGCCCATGGTTTGTCCAGCGGCTCAGACGGCATCGCTCGTGAACGAAGAAGAAAGAAGAAAACGGCATCGCTCACTCCAGCGAATGCTATGTCCGGCGTCCTGCGTCCGCCTGCCACGGGGGACCTCAGGGGACATTGGCCGCCCTCAGACGCCACTTCCGATCTGGCATACGTCGGGGGCGAGCTCTGCGCGTGCCTGAGTTGGTGCGCGTTCGGGATCGTCAGTGGTGATACGCGCTGAGGCGTAAGGGCTCGTTGAGTGCTGTAGGTGATACGCACTCTTACGTTACAGCGTCCGCTACTGGTGATACTGTCGTGCACGAAAGTCACAATTTAGCTTGGGCTATAGGGGATCCACACTTACTCGACACCTTTGAGTTTGTCAAAAATGATAGGCACTCCTACGTCAGAGCGTGTGCTATTGGTGACAGTCTACGTGCGCCACACTTTAGCTTGGGCTGGACGGAGTTCACACTTACTACTTGACACCCTGGTGAGTGTCACAGGTGATACACACTCGTTGTGAGTTCGAGCGTGGTGTGTGCTTCCGGTGAGGTACGTGGAAGTTATGGCCCAGCGGGTACTGTACTTGGTTTAAGTACGTAAGGGACGCATCAGGGGATACTTACGGCAGAATAGATGCCCCGCGGGAACAGCGGCCGATATTCACACGTAAGCAACACTTTACTGAGTGCTTATGGCGGCACTCCACGGGTGAGACTTAGGGCTCACCTGATGACAGACGGGATGCAAGCCTGAATTGTAACCCTCTGAGTGCTATAAGTGTAAGCTGAAGTACAAATTATGTGATGCACACTTGAGTTACAACTCAAAAAAGTTTTGAGTCTCCACTCCTTGATTCCTTTGTGTCTGACACTGTTTATTTTGTAAGACATTCTATCCAGTTGAAAATAAAAGGCTGTGTCTGTAGATCCATGGCATCCAGTCCATCCGGGGCAATATTGGGCTTTTGCCTGAACAGAAACGTACTCCAGTTGCACAATAAGCAGTAATGTTCTCAATCAAAGAAAAAATTATATCCAACTCCAACAGGTACACAAGTATTCCTCCTTACAGAACACACACGCGTCACACAATGACGATTATCTACTGTTACGTCAGAGAGTAATTCCAAACACAGGCTGGATTGTTGTTGGGTTTTTTTTGAAAACTACAAAGAGTTTGTTTTATACTTTTGTAATAATCTAGAGAATCTGGATTGAAAATGAATATGTTAGCAATAAATCGCGCAAGAACATTATTGGATACACGACTGCACTATGTCACAAGTTCGATACCAGGCTATTTTGTATTCTTGTTCAACATGATACCAGTCGGCCCAAAAATAATAATAAAGAAACATTTTGTAAGAATTGTCAGGTGTAGTTTGCTGTTTCATTTTCCTTGCATAGAGGTAGTAATTGTGGATTTTGCTGCTGTTTTCTTCCCGTTCCGCGATCGCTCTTCGTGGTTTTTAGTTATTCGCCGTTGTAAAACAGCACTTTGTTTTCAGCGTTACATCTACAATGTTCATTATATTTACTCTGCAATGGTGTAAAAATAGTACATATAAAGACAAGATCTAGTCTAATATTAGCCATGGCACTTGTAATTTTTACCCTGGCCCTATTGAACTATTTTGGCCATGTTTACAGTTTTGTAGTGAACTCTAGATCATACCACCATGTTCGGGTTTTCCCTGTGTTACACCCTTGCGCACTGAATCAAACAGGGAAAACAACTAAGTACACAAAAGATCAGCTGTTAAACGTAAACAATCCAAGTCT